AGTGCATTTTGAGTGGATTTAGATAATAATTAGGTGTTTCTATGTTAAACCAATATATTACTGTTAAAAATAGCAGATGTCACTACATTTTTAACATTTATAGGCAGTTCATCAAATGAAATTCATGTTTATGACATTATTATGTAGTAATCACACTTGATCAGCATGTTTTGAGTGGATTCTATAACAGATGCAGGTGTTTTTGTGTCAAGCCTTCATATTTCTGTTAAAATGACAGGTGCTCCTTTTTTATTTGCATGTTCAAGTAGTTTTTAAACATTGAATAAATGGCTTATCACAATGGAATGTACTAATCAGATTTTATCAGCGTGTTGTGAGTGCAGTCAGATAAGAGCTTAAAAGTTTTGTGATTTCCAATTGTGTCTTTTGCTCTCTGTGATGTTTTTGGATTGACATTGGCAATGAAAGGTGAAGAGCCTTACCCAAATCACTTCACATAACTCCAGGTGCACTGCTTGTATGTTAATATCTGTTAAATGACTGGGTGTAGTTCAGACTCAAATTATACAGAAATATTATTCAGGCTGACCTAGTAGGATTGCCATAGTGGCTTTTGAAAAACTGAAATGTGAGCACAATGTTTACTGGAACATGAAGCCAACACGCCCAGATACTGTACGATTAATGGAAAGAAGTGCATGTTTGAAAAGGGCTTTAGTGATTTACCATAAAACGTTTTTCCTGGTGTTGCATCCATATGCTTTGGTTTATTAGAATGTATAACCGCATTTCATTAATGTGTTTGTGATGTATCTTGAGTGGAGACTGGTGTATGAACTGAAAATCAACAACAAAACATAAACATGATGTTATATAGCGTCTCTTCAAGGTAGAATTTCTCATCTTTGTCAATACTTTTCAAGAAATTGTAAATATTTATGTTAAATGCTAAAAAAAAAAAAAGGGGGGGACTTCAACTAAAATATTACCAATTGCAGTGATTTGTCATGTGATTTGATATACAGGAAGTGAACACAATATCACAATAATCTGCAATTCAGTACAATAGTTAGGATAACAATCATGTTCTATATTGATTCATTTACAGATTACTTTTCTAAATTATTGTCTTAGGTAGCAACTTTTCTCTCAGTCCAAGGTGATATGTGTAAATGTCTTGTTTCGACTGTCTAATCCAAAAAATGAATCAGTTTACTATAATGTGTGACAAACCCCCCCCCCATCAAATCTTCATATTTAAGAAGCCAGAAACTGCAAATATTTTACATTAATGCTCATTTTTTTGTGTGTCTATCGAGTAATGGTTCCAGCTGTGACTGTTTCAAGACTGTGCAAAAATTGTGGTTCTAGTTTGTAAGGTTGTGCTTTGCGTTGCTTCACACACTGTATGAAATGTAAGTAAAAACAACAGAATTTAGTTGTTCTGTGACTGATAGGCTGTTTGTTTGTTTGTAGGTTCTCTCAGATGAAGAGAAAAGGAAACAGTACGATGCCTACGGAGAAGATGGACTTAAAGAAGGTCACCACAGTTCTCACAACGACATCTTCTCCAGGTTGGTGTCATGGTTTTAATACTGGACTAGAAGTCAGTGGGACTATTTACAGCTAAAACCAATGACATGTCAACTTAAAGTCCAGGTTTAGAAGACAAAAAAGTCTCACTTGATTCTGCTGCTGTCCAGTCATGCAGAGGATTTAGTTATTTTTTTTGAGGGATGCATATTTGATTTGAAAAAATTTAACAGCTCCATGTAGAAATTAAACTGGAGAAATCAGAAACATCACTGAACAGTTTACACTGGAGCTACCATTTATCAATTAAAAAAACAACAAAACTGTTAACACTGTGTTCTGAAAAGGCAAATCAGGCTTTAGGAGCAAACAAACCAGGTTGCATAGTGTACATAGCTGTAATAAACAAAGAAACAAAAACAGCTGTTTGCCAACCACTAAAAGACATTCAAGAAGAAGAAACAACTGAAGTGAGTCCATTTACATGTTCCTACACAAGGAACATGTTAATGCGCAATTCTAAAAATGCAAAAATGTTATGTTGCTTCTAAAAATATCCACTGATGCTACTGTTCCTCTCTCTTCATCTTCTCTTTGTAGCTTCTTCGGTGACTTTGGATTCATGTTTGGAGGCAACCGACAGCAGCAGGACAGAAACATCCCCAGAGGAAATGACATAATACTCGACCTGGAGGTCACACTTGAAGAGGTGTATTCTGGGAACTTTGTAGAGGTGCGTAGAAACTCCTGCTTTATTAGACTGACTGTAAAAAGCTACAAATGTGAAAGATTTAATTTAGGACGTCAAGCTGCAAAGCGTGCTGCTGCGTCACCTCCCTGCCTGCTTACTTGTTTTTGATCACCTTTTGTGAAACTGCTTCACTGTGCAGGTTGTACGTAACAAACCTGTAGCCAGAGAAGCTCCTGGTAAAAGGAAGTGTAACTGCAGACAGGAGATGAGGACGACGCAGCTCGGACCAGGGCGCTTCCAGATGACTCAGGAGATGGTGTGTGACGAGTGTCCCAATGTAAAGTAAGTCAGTGCTGCTGGTAACACTCCACTTTCAATTTTAAATCAGATGATAACTCGAGACTGGACATGCCAACTGATGAAACAGTTCACTGTGAAGCTACATGATGCATCCGCTTGATTTCTAACACAACCTGAGTCAAGCTGGCTCCAAATTGTTCTGTCTACTTGGGTATGGAAGCCCTTATTGCTGCACATCTCAAGTTTGTGTGTTAATGTGAAAAACAGCTCTGCGTATTATTTGGTCAGGCTGTCACTATCATGAACTTTAGTTCCTGAGTAACTGTCATGTTCTTTTCATTTCATGCCTCTATTAGTTTCAGATTAGTGGCATTGGTGCCTTTGAATGCAACCTTTTTGCTGCAAATTGTACAGATTTCCTTCAAGTTGTCCGGCCTCCCTAAATCCATTTTCTATACACCGCTTAATCCTCACTAGAGTCACGGGGGGCTGGAGTCTATCCCAGCTGACTTAGGGTGAAGACAGGGGACACCCTGGACAGGTCACCAGTCTATCACAGGGCTACACTTAGAGACAGACAACCAAGCACACTCACATTCACACCTACAGACAATTTAGAATCACCAATTAACCTCAACGTGTTTTGGACTGTGGGAGGAAGCCGGAGAAACCGGAGAGAACCCACGCTGCACGGGGAGAACATGCAAACCCCACGCAGAAAGATCCTGAGTGTCCTCACCGGGACATGAACCAACAACCTTCTGAAACTAATGCAGTCTTTTATTAATCTTCATATGATCACAAATCTATTTTATTCATGGATTTACTGCCTGGATTCTTGGACTACATTATGAGTTGTGCCTAATATACTGGCCACTGAACTGGGAGATGTAAAGCTGATATCAAGCATGTTTTCTGAACCACAGGCTGGTAAATGAAGAGAGAACCTTGGAGGTGGAG